TAACACACTTATTTCTTCAATTTGTTAAATATAGTAATACACGAACAATAAATGACAGTAATGCATAACATTAAAAAGTAAAAGCTGTAAGTATTAAGATCCAATAGCGTCCCAAATTTTTAAGCGTTAAAATTTTAAAAATAATAAAATAAAGCTATAAACATTATGTAATTGATGATTTAAATAGTATTTTTTTATCATTATACTCATGCATAGGCACAAATTGAGTTTCTAGTTTAAGTGGAYGCTATACACGCATGTGTATTCTCAGTCTTACACATAAACCACATATACTCTGTTCAAAATAAGACCGGACCTCGGCGGCGACCAGTTTTCATTCGCGGACGGTCAGGCACCTCCCCCACCATAGATCACGTGTCAGGCCGAGCCGCAGAAATATGCCACGCCCATGCGCACAACTCGGCCTCCGAGGTCCGGTCTTATTTTGAACAGAGTATAGACTAATGCATTTACGCAGTCTGAGTAGGCTCACTCTATTTTGTGTAAAGTAAAAATAACTATTACAAAATTGAAATGTGATAAAATTTTTGAGGGCAAGACAGTGTGTTTTCCCATGATTCCCAATGCATTATTCATTATTTTGTTTAGAAATAGAAAAATATTTAATATTTTTAAATAACCTTTAAATTTTCAAAATTTAAATGTTTAAAAGAAAAACACTCATCTTGTCCTCGGAAATATTATCACAATTCAATTTCAAAATAGGTATTTTTACTCTAGAACCAAAATTAAACGAGTCCTACCCAGACTACGTAAACGCGTTTAGTCTAAGTAGTATGTGTGCAAGACGGAGAAAACACATGCAAGTGTAGCGTATTCTCAAGTAGCTAATTGCTGATTCTGTTTCCTTTAACCCACCAATTATTTTTAACAATATAAAAATTAAGAAAAATGTTATTCATCGACCTAATGTGATTTATTTTATTTTTTTGAAACAATAGCAATTTATATATAGCAATAGCAATAGCAATATCTGAGGCATAGGGTTGTTCAAGTTTAACCGAAATGTGTTTGCTTATCATGATAAAAAAGTGTTCTCATATATAAATTACTGGTTATTTATTACAAAACCTATGTTTATAAATAACAATATAAAAATATTAATCAGCAACTATTTTTTTTTTTAAGTTTATTAGATGATAAAGATAAGAGTATGAAATGGAATAATATTCTTTAAAATTTAAAATTATAAGTAAGCAGGAAACTTAGCTCAAAAATGACTGATTGTAAGAAATAATTTCACATTACATATGCAAATAATATCTAAAATTTAAAATATTAAATTTTTTTTTTTTATTTGACAAAACATTATATTTACAATCTGTATTTACAGTTAWAAAATGAGTAAATTTGATGGTGATTGATTGGCAGGAAGGGGAAGTCGCCCAGTGACGGCACCCCATGGAAAGTGAATTAAGGAGAGAGTAGGTCCCTACACCAGTTCCTTTTCAGAAGCCTGGGTGGATTACCTGGAATTTGATTGGATGAAAGTTGGATGATTATACGATTAGATTGAGTACTGAATGTTTTATGTGTTTTTTTGTAGGTGATTTTGGCAAGGCTGTTTAAGATTGGAATGCAGATGTCTTTATGAAGTGATTCATTGGTAATATACCAAGGGACACCTAGGTAGAATACTAAATTTAATCTTAAAAAGCTGGTTAAATTCAAAAATTAATTAAAAACAATTGAATATAAAAATGGGTGGTTGCCATTTAAAAAAACATTTACTGTACAAAAAAATGAAATTTAATTTCATAAAAAAAAGCAAATAGCAGATAACATAAAAGTATTCTAAAGTATAATGATAAACAAACAAATTCTGAATAAAACTAACCCATCAATTATTCACTGAGATACTGAATATTTCAGCCATMAAAAAACATAATGTAAGCATTTTATCAGCCAACATTGATTTAAAATATTTAACAGCATGAATAATTCATATTTAAGTTGTACTACCTATTTTTTTTTTAATTAAAAGAGATAAAATGTCAATAGTAATTCCTAACAATAATAACTAATCAGATAAATCAAAAAATGTATATAACTCAAATTATGCCTATGGTTAGGTTATAGTTGATAGATTAAAAGAACTTTGTAATTAAAGCAAAAATATTTATGAAAAACTACAATAAGCTTGTACTAAAACAYTATGATGAAAAGCTTATCTCATTTAAATTATAAAATATTAAAGTGAAATTATCAAACTACATTCACACATATACAAAATAATAAAAATAAATTTTCAACCAGAACTAAGTTTTCATAATATATAATATTATTAACAATTAAACAAATAAAACAATTTAAACTATCAATAAGCATGTTTTCCATTAAACATAAATATAAAATGTATTTTACTAGGTATATTTTGTTACATTTAAAACTGTATTTTTAGCTTAAATGCAAGCTTTCTAATTAAATAAAAATTATTCATCCATAATTAATAAAATTTAAAATGTTTAGAAGAAATATGGAGGAATTTTAGGGAATCTAGATAATATAGATATTATTAAAGATATAATAAACTAAGAATAAAATCCTAGTACTGGTTATAAAAAATAAAACAAAAATAAAATGTATTAAAATGAAATGAAATGTATAATGTGCAAGATGTAGAAAAATATTGGACACACCAAGCTAAAGTATATACTATGTACATAAAACTTATATTTTAATTCGAATTTACCGAAAATACAGTTTGGATGGTTGATCTTAATATGAATGGCAATACGTTATCAATAGTATCAATGTCCTTAGATACTCTGTTCAAAATACGACCGATAGGTGTTGTATCAAACAGGCTTAATGGATTCTTGAAAATCCGTGCATTGATCAACTCGTATAATTTTTCAGCAGCTACTACTGTGCCTAACGATAAAGCTATTGCCGCTGTCACTGTCGATACAACTACAGCAAATCAAAAATTTTTAAAATAAACTAAAATATTCACAGATTAGTTTATAATGTAATTGCTTTGAGTTGATAAGTCCTTTATATTACCTTATTAATACCATTAAAGATTAAATCATACATACACATACATCAATATTTAACAGTAAAAACTTACAAATGTACATATTTATTTATTTATAAAAACATTAATTATTCATATGCAATAAATTGTAGATTTAAATGATGATGGAACATTTATTTAATCTTCAAACTAAACTTAACCCAAAAAAAAAATTAAGAAAAAAAATTAAAAACAGAATTTATTATTTATATAGTATGAAACGGTTTACTGCACCATAAATTAAAAAGTTATTATTTTTAAGTTTTTAACTATTGAGTATTAGACATAATTATAATAAAACATTCCTTAACCATAATCAGTTTAGTTGATCAAGAAATCAGTAAATTATTCAATTATTGTAAAATCCCATAAATATGATAAAATATGCAAATTTAGGTAAATTTTCATCCTTTTTTTTCAGTTTGAACCAATGACGCGGCGGGAACTGCTTTCGCGACGCCGCCGGTCAATTTTCACCTATTGATGTTTAAGACAACTTCAACTCAATACCAATAATTTGTTATMACAACTAAGACAGAGGACTTGTAGCATTACCATACTTATTTTGCCCAGTCAAAAAAATAGCCTAGTACGAAACTAATACATTTCAAGCTCTCATTAAGATAGTTTTGAAATTTTATTTTGCATATTAATGCATATTTTGAGTTTTTTCGTTTTTAGGACATTTTTTTTTTTGATTTTTACTTTTTGAGACATATTTTTAACTTGAYTAATAATTTTATTGATTATATCTCACTTAACCTTAGGTAAACAATACAACCTAATTTATAATTAATTTTTATCATATTATGGTTTTTAACTGGTCCTAGCACACACTTTTCCTAGAAACCTTATTATTTTATAAATTATAATAAAATTAAAAACTTAGAAGCTTAAACATATGGAAAAAATCACACTAATTCAAAATAATAAATTTAGTTAAATAAAATAAATAAATAAATAGTAATCTTCTTGTTTTTATTTTTGAGATTCATATTTTAGGTATATTTTTTACTTTGTGTGTTAATGCATTTGGGTATTCAAATGCATATTTGGTGATTTTTTWWWA